TATTACGTGTCTTCATTATTAGGCTGGTCTATAAAAGTTTATTTGACACTAATTAATTATTTTGCAAGTAATATAAATATTACAATGAAAGACATTCATGCTCGTTACAACCGGTACTCATGAAGAGCTACACTTGACATACAAAAATCAATGAGTTCCCAATACGTTCAGCCAATTCATTTCATTTGACCCGAATACGCTATCTGTTCGTTAAAGTCCGGGATACGAATCCGAATCGTTCTTTCTTATAAAAGAGTAACCGGAAATAGATTTGATCAAAAATACTGAAATTGCATGATAAGGAAAGAGATGTAGCATTGAATCGATTTCAGAGAAAGATGATGAGAATTGTCGTTTGAAAGGTCGTTGAATTACTTCGGTAATTTGACGTACTTCCGGCCACAATGACCGTTGAAGTCGCACTTATCTGAGGGTTTCTGGAACTTCTACTCGTTCACTTTAACTTGAACCGTGGAAGAGGCGAGAGTGCGAGTAACTAGTACTTAAGGGTACTTAGTGTCGCGGTGTGTTTTTCGTGCCTGTAAAGTTCAAACATTAGATCAGAAGTTAAGTGCGGTCAACTTTGTGTGTGTGCAAAGTGTGTAGAAAGCCGTTCGACGGCTTTTTGTGCAGGATATTTTCGTGCAGGTTGAAGTTTGCACTGCATTGCTTCTAGCGATAGATGGCATTGCTCGGCACACCGTACCAAAGAAAGTGAATCGCACTCTCTAGACCCCACGCTTCAGTGTCAAGGTTCCCGGTTCGGGGGAGAATCCGGAAGGGAGAAACTGTTCTCCGACAGAGCGTTGGCCAAATCCGCCGATATCCTCCACGTGCACCCACGTACATGGTTCATTGACGATCACCCCCTCGTCGACATCTGCGCCACCGGCAATCGGCGCTAATTCAGTTCCGAAAGTTTCGATTCGGAATTTCTGCACCACACCAGTTCGGGGTGCAATGCGCAACATCACCACCGTTGAATAGGGTAGTAGTTTGCCGATCTCCCGTCGTCAAATGGGATGCTACTGTGCCAATACGGTTGAAGCAGCGACAACATTGATGGTACCGTGAGTAAACGAAACGCATGCGAATCTCCACACACACACACACTTGAGCTCGAAAATAAATAGCAGGATAGGCTAGCAATCGCTAGAACTAGTGCAGAAAACCGCACACACGATTGGGGAGAGCTAGCAAATAAACAAATGAATGGGAAAGAAACAAGTATGTACTATGAATAAAACCTAGGTTAGGAACACTAATAAATCATATGATGATTTCCGTTAACTGCCCCTGAAATAAATGTTGTTTTTTTTAAAGTTAAAGCTTTCCCCGTAATGTTAATTTTGGTTGGTTAGATTCTTCACATTTTGGCGCTCTTCTATTTTGCGTTTTTTTGTAGTATTTGTTGTTGTTGTAGTTGAATTTACTTCAGGTTGGACTGCCTGGGAAAACAGTCTCCGCACTCACGTGTCAGGATCGGTGAGGGAAATCTGAAAGGGAAAGTTCCTCCAGTGATGATAAATCCGAGTGGGGTTGTTGTGCTGCGGTAGAACGACGGTTTAGCACCAACTTTCGCTTAGGACCGTTTGAAGCGGCATGTGTTTGTGAGGATCTCAATCCCTCATGCGATTTTAGTCTGCTAAATTGCCCTCAAACTAAATTTCGGTCTCTTCCATACATAAACCCTCCCTGAGGTTGGGTTTCTTGCCGGGCAAATCAAACCTTGACGAGTGGTCCTTTTCGGAGGTGGCGCTTAAGCCACTTGTTCTTGAGACAGGAAGCGTATTCAGTGGTGGAAATCTCGCAGGTTGCGAGACGTCCGTTGCGCCACATAACATATGTGGAACTTCATACAAAATAACTGACTAAAAGTTGGCCCCTTTTTTGTGTTGCCTCAGTGGTATAACTGGTATAGTTGGCCATCGATCTGTCAAAATAAAATTCTCATGATATCGACACTGAGCGTTCACAAGGACCAATGTTGAAAACGAAAACAATGGCTTCTTTCGTAAATTTCTCGTAGTTTAAAGTCAATCCATGTACCCCCAATTGATAGGGGGATCTCCCTCTACATAATCATCGTGGTGATTTACTTGAGCGGTTTTCCATTCTCGAGAAATTCACGGAATTAGTCATTGTTTACGTTTGCGACATCGGCTTTTATGAAAGAGAAGCAGATATATGGTTGCAGGCTCAGTAAGCATTGACGATTTTCGACGACTCTGCATTGCAACTCTTTTCTCCTATGGTAAAAACAACACAATTTCATTACTTCAGTACAAAATAATTGGAGTAGATCTTTGTGCTGAGGTTTAAGCAAAAGTTTGCACCTGGCCGCAGTTGAGAGACATATAGAGGGCTGAATCCTAGGGTATTACAGGTATTACTTGCTGCAAAATTGCTGCTTCGCTTTGGACTTCAAAATGTATGCAGTAAACTACTAGTTTGCGCAGTCATATTTTTCCTTCTACGAATCCAAATGAATGAAGCAAGGTGACGAATTTGTTGGATCCAGCTATACAATTATAAATAAAGGACGTAAATAGTTAACGATTAACAAAGACATAAGTTCAGAAGTGCTAGTCATAGAATCATAAATCACACTTTTAGAAAAAATCATGTGCCCTGAGACTGACATATATGAGCGTCAATTTTGACATGAAATTGAGTCATAACATAACGGCGAGTAACGAACTTTTCAGTCTCGGTGCACTTAATTTTAAATGATATATTTGTTTACGTCTGATCCTTTATGTCAAAGATGGATTCCGTCACGTGTAAAATTAGTTATTTCTAAGTGTGCAGGTTATTATTATTTTAATAGAATTGACTACCCTCTTGTCTCCCTTTCTTACGTTACAGCTGGTATAATCAATTTGACAGATCGATGTCTTTATGTACCACTTGAAATCACTGAAATGGGGTCGATTTTTGATGACCGAGTTCCACATATGTTATGTGGTTGCGCTGTAGTGGCAACTCGCCAAATCTGGCTCAATTCGCGACATTGCTTTTCGGGTGACGCCATTTTTCCAACTTTCGAAAAACTGACAGCGATAATAATACAGTGTAAACAATAATCTCTCCTTTTTCCGTGATGCAATTTGACGTGGGACACCCTTTAATACAAATGCAGCGTGGAAATGCGAATTTGAATCATATCCATCGTCTTGAAAACAAGCGGAATTTTCAAACTTGTTTTTCTTGAAACTTAAAATTTTGAGTTACCTAGCTGTAGCATTAAGGGGACGATGTGTTCGCAAGTGAAGGTCAATTGAATTTCAAAATTAGAGCAACAGCTCGTTTACAGGTTTTTCACCTGAAATATAATGATATTGAGCGTCGATCGTATGCAGTTCCAAAAAATGACATTTTCCGCATTTCGTAATATTTGAACGGGACCCAAGGAAAAAGTAATGTAGTTTCACTGCAAATCGATCAGTACCGACGATTTATCTCAGGAATATAATTCTTTCTATGAAAACTTGTGGTCCTGAGTCCAAGTCAGAAGGCTCCGCCTCATACCGTTGGAGATACTGCTGCTGCTAGTTGCTCAGGAGATCGGATCATTACGTTGTCCGATGTGAAAATGAGCTTCGGTACGACATCGTTCTTAACTTAAAGCTCACCCTACACCTGCCCGATATCATCCGATTGACTCTTCACAAATGAAAGCGAGATAAATATAGAAAACAGTCGGATCGGATGATCCGGGTAGATGCGGGTTGAGCTTAATGCAAAAATAGCTCGTTAAAGAGGCGAGTCTCCTTCCACCCCACGTTGGTTGTCTAGGCGATACACTCCTGCTTGCTGCTGGTACTACTAACTACGCCGTCCGAAGCAAAATAAACGGAGACATGACAGCTGCGCTCTTTTATAACTTTTCAAGTTTAAGCAGAACGATGTGCAACCAAGTTGTACTCGATTATGATGACTGGGTTTGGGAAAAAAGTTTATTTCTTGAAAACAGTGATAAATTATCACTTTTTATTTGTACTTTTTTCAAAGGTTTTTTTTTTGTTATGAAAAATTAGAAAAATATTTATTTTATAAATTTGTAGAGCTATTTTCTATCGATTGGTGTACTTAGATATTAATTTTATCTATAAATGAGAAAGTTATAAGGGTTCAAACTCTAACACATTTTCGTGACGGTCGCAATTTCCATAACACGTATCACAGAACAGAAGGGGAAGTGCAAACAAATCAATGAATCAAAAAGTAGTTCGTTTTCCTGCTCAACAAGCAATGTGTTGTGGTAGCGTTCCACGCGGGTTTTCTATGTGCACTCACACTATCATAGCATTCTGCCTATCTTAACTGCAGGCACGTAGTCTACGTCAGCATGATTTTGACACTAAAACCGATTATTTTCGATCAAATTTACGAGAAATCGAGACGTTTTACCACGAAGCAAAAGCGAAAGCGTAACGTTAAGCAACTTAATGTTATGATTATCATATAGTTTATCATTGTTGATTAGGTATGTTTGGATACTTGAGACAACATATTTCAAATAATGTATGAAATCACCTATCTTGTAGACATCTTGCTAACAAGTAAATAATTTGCTTGAAATAAAATATATAGGGGAAAGGGATGTAATGTCGGCCTAAGTGTTCTTAATTTTGGCCCATACATAAATTCAGCAATCGACTAAATTTTCAATAGCAATCTTAGATCCATAGGCCAACATTAGAGCCATTTCCGATACTTGCATTTTACTAGGCTGGAATCTCTTAGAATTATTGATTAAATTTTTACAAATTGCCAAAGGAATCCAACAGCATTAAATGGTATTTACTCCAGCTTGAAAAACTATGTACAAGATTATGTTGGAATTCTCTAACACATGGAAAACTGAATCCAATGGAATGTTGATCAACCAACATACGCAATAACGGCTCTAATTAACTCCAAACATAAAAGTTCGAATAAACGAAAGTTCATTGATTAATGCTAGTGTTTCCTCCTCTCTCACTCTCGATTTCCAGACTTAATACTCCGGAGGCGGACCAACGATCGCAAGCAACGAACCCGAAACGACGTACGGTGAATTTGAATGCGCACTGATGACCTACGATTACCAACATTGTATAGTTTAATTCCAACGACGCGAACGTAACGAAAGCAAAAGTGTGACGCGAGCCCGTTTGTGAACGTGTGTCTGTGTGTTTTGTGATTGATATGGATATGGCACCGGGTTTAGGAGGTTAATAGCGCGCCGCGCACCAAACAAAAATGCTGTTACCGTGTGTAGCAATGGTAGTCCTTCGCAACCAACCAACGGCGACGAACAATCATGTTTGGCTTGTCAAGTATGCATCTACAGCAACACCAACAGCCATTTGGTAGCACCGTTGAGAATTTAGGATCAACAATGAAGCCGGACAGTCCAGATATTGGCGTTTCTGTCGAGAAGCAGCCACTGAGTGAGATCACCAACACTGCTGGTGGTGGTGGTGGTGGTGGGGATTGTGGAGTTACTTTGAAGTGGAACAGTTCCAACTCCAGTTTGAGCAGTGCAAGCGACAGGAAAAGCACATTCTACACCGAAGTAGAACCTAAGGTAAGGATCGACTGCATGAGTCATATTCTTGAGCCCTTTATTTCTCTTCTACGGTTACGGCCATGCCTGCCAATCAAAAACCTACTGTTTACAATAAGTCCATTGTTTATTTTGATATCGAGCGTATTGTCCAACGCATGCCACGCAATGTTGATTAGATTGGAGTCACATTTGAAGCACCCTCAACAGGTGGAACAACACTCACAGAAACAACGCTCTTTCAAGTCATTGTGTGAAAACACAATGTTTTCTGATTCTCTCAGCAGATCTAAATCAACACAACCACTTGCAACAGATCGAAATCATGTCGAAGCCATGTAGATTCTAAATAGCCTATAAATATCACCTACTACCAGCCGCTGTTGCAACGCTCCATAATTGAACGGACGAACAATCACTCGCTCCCTGCGACGACGACGATGACAACGGCGTCGGCGACGCCGGTAGAGCTCTAGCAGTTGTATGTCTTAGCAAGGCACAGCGAGAGAATTATGAGTAATTAATCTGTATCTTGAAGCCTGATGCAATCCAATAGCCCATTGTTTGAAAGGTTCGACGGCGACGACGACGACGACGACGAAACCCATTCAAATCCATGTCAGGAAAAAGCCTTCGCACCATTGTTGTTCGGCATCGGCATCTGTATGCCGCCGTCGACGTCGTCGTCGTCGAAGCATATTAGAAGGCACCATTTATGCAATCATCCATATGCCATCATCCATCGTCATCGCATATAGTTTCGCATCTATTGAGATGAGCTACCATCCAAGTGCGTTATGACTGACAGGCGCTTTACAACTCATTTAGATCGAAATCACCTAACGGCGACGACTACGACGCCGACGACCAACTAGGGTTCCCATTTGCAAATCAAGCCTGATGCGAAAAGCCAAAGTGTTGCAATTTTTAATTGCATTTATTTCAAACGGTAGTCCATCAACAACTGCAAGCTGCCCCGCAGCCAACACAAACGGAGCGATTCGATTCGATGAGCTCAAATTAGCTCGGTTTGCCACAAACATAAGGCAGCCGACCGCCCGCCCGCCCGCTCAAAGAGCAGAAAAAATAAGATTTTCGAAATCAACGAAACGCTTGGCGATGGCCATCACTTAACCAATATAAAACGCACCGGTCTATTTGGTAGGCTAATGGGAGTAGCTATGTTTCCAAACGGTCTCTAAACTCTCTCGGATGTAATTGGAAGCGAATTATTTATTTCTGTCAGGGCTGTCCGTCCGTTCGTTGGCACCTCGGGCGGCGGGGGCTCCTCCCAAGTCATGATTGGCGAAGAAAAGCGTGAATGTGTGTGTGATTGAACCTCTGCTCTGGCTGATTGCTGCCAGTTACCACCTGCTCCTGATGTAATTCGACTTATGGTAATCGAAAGACCGATAATCGATAATGAAGTGTGCGAGGAGGTGCGAGTACATCACGGGTGTAGGCATTTCAGAGCTGGGCTGACGTTGCAATGGGATCGATTTGGATTGCGTGAAATGGTACTTTTCCTGATAACTGCAATTCGTTGCCAGAAAGGGGGTGCAACCCTTTTTGGGTGGGTATTATTCAATAAAAAAATCCTACCCGGCGATTCAAATGGTATTGGAGACATATGGTCCATTTTTTCAGAGTTTGATATAGAAATAGACATTAAAGCGTTTTACAAAATTGGAATAACTTATGATTGTGAATTAGAGACAATGTATGTGAGTTTTTCCTATTCTTTAAGCATTATTTGTCACAAATTGCTAAACCCTTTCTCCTCCTTTATCGAGTGACGTACTTAATGGATCGCCCTCTTATTTCTATATCTTTGAACTTTTACTAAATTACTATGGGGAACGACCCACGACTCTGCACTTAGGTGTAGAACTGATAGCAGTAGAACGTTCACTGGCGAGAGCAACTTCGATTGTATGCGGAGAGCATCAGCGGATGAGTCATTTTTGGTTCTGTGATAGAACTGCCCAAGTAACAATTCAAGATGGACAACAAGAACAGAAGCTGATTATTGGTCGAATTAAGGCGTGCAAAGTAGTTGATTAGTATTGCATAAAGCGAATTGTATCCCCATAATTCAACCTCAATAAGTTAGCTTATCTAAAGACAGAACAAGATTTATTTAATTAGCGGCGCCGGTGGTGTAGTGGTAAGCGTGATTATCTCTCACCCCAGCAGGCCTGGGTTCAATCCCAGTCCACGCCGCCGGGATGTTCGGAGGCATAACATCTCTGATCACGGGAAGCAAAGCCGTTGGTCCCCTGTTCATGAGTTGATGGGTCGATAGGTAGGGTCCAGGTGTGGGAGCTGCCTCCCTGGCGTCGGTAGCATTGGTGTTCAGCACGGAAAACAAGATCGACGGAAAACAAATCAAGGAAAAAAATAGGCTTATTTAAGCTTAACACTACTCAACAAATCAGAAATACACTACAAAAATGTTGATAGCCTGATATAAGAATAGGAATCTATAGCATTTCCAGCATTTTAGTTCTTCTAAGTTCACTGCCTTTTTTTTTTTTTTTTTTTTTTAACTCTTTATTTGTTCCAAATTCAAAATAAATTACATTTCATTTTAACCTAGGTGCTCCAGTTACTGCAGTAACGTACCAGCCTTAATTGTTATGATATATATCTAAGTGTTTTTACATTGTTCATGTCTTGGCAATTCAGTATTTTAAACAGGTTTTTTAACCTGCATGTCAGTATAACAATTGATATCTTAAAACTAAAAACTAAAACTAAATCTTATCTAAGTATAAAGGGAATTAATCGTTGCAATTGAGGATTGCAACGATTTTTGCCTGAAATTATTAATTATTTTGTTGGACATTTGTGCTAAAGTCTCAACATTCGAAATTCTATGTACTTCGGTTGTACTGTACCAGGGAGGCAACTTCAAAATCATTTTCAGAATTTTGTTCTGAATCCTTTGAAGTGCTTTTTTCCTGGTAGTGCAGCAACTAGACCATATTGGCACAGCGTAAAGCATGGCCGGTCTAAAAACTTGTTTAAATATTAGAAGTTTATTCGTCAGGCAAAGTTTGGATTTCCTGTTTATAAGAGGATACAAACATTTTATATATTTGTTACATTTGGCTTGAATGCCCTCAATGTGATCTTTAAAAGTTAATTTTTGGTCAAGTATTAATCCAAGATATTTCACTTGGTTTGACCAGGCAATTGGAACTCCGTTCATAGTGACTATGTGACTACTACTAGGTTTCAAAAAGGAAGCTCTAGGCTTATGTGGAAATATGATAAGTTGAGTTTTGGAAGCGTTGGGAGAAATCTTCCATTTTTGTAAATAAGAAGAGAAAATATCTAAACTTTTCTGCAGTCTGCTGCAAATAACACGAAGACTTCTTCCTTTAGCGGAAATGCCTGTGTCATCAGCGAACAAAGATTTGTGGCAACCCTGAGGCAAATCAGGGAGGTCCGAAGTGAAAATGTTATACAATATAGGCCCAAGAATGCTACCCTGAGGAACTCCTGCTCTAACAGGTAGTCGATTAGATTTGGAATTTTGATAATTTACCTGCAGAGTTCTGTCAGTTAAATAATTTTGAACTAATTTCATAATATAAAGTGGAAAATTAAACTTTTTCAATTTAGCAATCAAACCTTCATGCCAAACACTGTCAAATGCTTTTTCTATGTCTAGAAGAGCAACTCCAGTTGAGTGGCCTTCCGATTTGTTTGAACGAATTAAATTGGTAACTCTTAAGAGTTGATGAGTAGTTGAATGCCCATGGCGAAATCCAAACTGCTCATCTGCAAAAATTGAGTTCGTATTGATGTGAAGCATCATTCTATTCAAAATTATTTTTTCAAAAAGTTTACTTATTGAAGAAAGCAAACTTATTGGACGGTAGCTAGAAGCTTCAGCTGGATTTTTATCCGGCTTCAAAATTGGAACAACTTTTGCATTTTTCCATTTATCAGGAAAGTATGCCAAATGGAAACATCTGTTAAATAATTTTACCAAGAAAGACAAGGTACTCTCTGGGAGTTTTTTGATGAGGATATAGAAAATTCCATCATCACCTGGAGCTTTCATATTTTGAAACTTTTTAGTTATAGACCTTACTTCGTCCAAATCAGTCCCCCAGGAATCATCAAAAATATTTTCCCGAGAGAAAATATTCAGAAAATCCCGAGCAACCTGATTCTCAATAGGACTAGTAAGACCCAAACTGAAATTATGGGAACTCTCGAATTGCTTAGCAAGTTTCTGAGCTTTTTCCAAATTTGTGATCAAAATTTTACCACCTTCTTTAAGCGCTGGAATAGGCTTTTGAGGTTTTTTCAAAATTTTTGTGAGTTTCCAAAAGGGTTTGGAACTCGGGTCTAATTTAGAAATATTATTTTCAAAAGTTTTGTTCCTCAGGGCAGAGAATCGCTTTTTAATTTGTTTTTGCAAATCCCGCCAGATAACCTTCGTGGCAGGATCGCGTGTTCTTTGATATTGTCTCCTACGGACATTTTTAAGACGGATCAAGAGCTGAAGATCATCGTCTATTATAATTGAATCGAATTTAACCTCGCATTTTGGTACTGAGGCAGCTCTTGCTTCAACTATAGAAGTAGTCAGAGATTCAAGAGCATAATTAATTTCATCTTTGGTTTGCAAAGGAATGTTTGGATCGAAGTTATATTCCATAAATGTTCGATACTGCTCCCAATCAGCTCTATGATAATTGAAAGTAGAGCTGTTGGGATTACAAATTATTTCTTGGGATATTTCAAAAGTTACTGGAAGGTGATCAGAACCGAAGTCAGCATGGGTAACCAATTGGCTACAAAGTTGACATGAATCAGTTAAGACCAAATCAATAGTGGAGGGATTTCTTGCAGAAGAAAAGCATGTTGGGCTGTTTGGATATTGAATAGTGTAATAACCTGCAGAACAATCATCAAACAGAATATTACCATTGGAATTGCTTTGAGCATTATTCCATGAGCGGTGTTTTGCATTAAAATCACCAATAATGAAGAATTTAGAC